CTCCTGAATACCGCAAACACGGAAGTAAGTGTTCCAGTTTGCGAATGTTTTTAGGAAGCTGAACGTCGAACGCGGCTTCTGATTGAGTGCAGGAAGTGCCTACAGCCAATCGGAAGCCGTGCCTTGGTTTTTGAATGGTTTCAGGAGTTGAATGGACTCTTGGAACGGATTAAGTTTGAGAACTAAGGTACCACTGTATAAAGAAAAGGTTGTAGCCAACTGAATTTTATTATGAGTAGAACTATTGAAATTAATGGACCTAAGTTGGTCATGTTCCTTAATGTCAATGTGTCTACAATGAGTAGGATTAGCACTAGACACAACCAAGTATCTTCATATTTGCTCCATGTTTTGCTTCTGATCACATTTCACTAGTGGGCAACTCTCACTTGAAGCCATGAATCCGGTTGCAGCCTTTGTGCTAAGCATAGGAGTAGGGGATAGGTTGGTGGCTACTAGCCAATGAGACGCTTCTCCATGAATTGGTCCAAAAGTCTTTTAACAAATCCAAGTTCCCGTGGGAGCGAGTTCTGTAGTTCAACTATGTACTGTACAAAGAAGCCATTTCTTCTGTCTTTCAGCGCCTGCTAAACACATTCTTGTTTAGACAAGCCTACCCAGATTCCTAGAAACGCTGGCATGGATTTTATCTTTCTGTAAACCACTTTGAGGTGCTTTTTAAACCCAACAATCAAGCAATGATTTTATGAAATAAATATGGCCTGAATCTTCCAGCATTCAGCTTCGTTGGATTCCCCAGGGTTTCAGTGTTATCAGAGAGGGAGACAAACTTTTCTCTATGCTGTACATCGTTTTATACATGAGGCTACCAGCATCGCCAGGAACAGCTGCTGTCTGAGGCACTGCCATAAAAACGCTCAGAAAATCTCTACGGAATGGAATTCCCTGGCAAGAGTCTACCCACAGACTGCCCTCATGGCAGACAGGTTGTCTCTGCCGTCATTCCCAACAGCTTCTGGGTGAACTAGCAAGAGCCTCAGCAGGAGCGAATCCACCTCAGATACGGCTCTGGAGAAACAGCTGCTGCTGCTGACATTTTCTCCCTAGGCCACATTCATACCGCACATTTAAAGCACTATGGCGACATTTTAAACATCCTCAGCTTCTCCCAAAGAATTCTGGGAGCTGTTGTTCGCTAAGGGTGCTGAGAGGAGACCCCCTTTCCCCCTTGCAGAGCTACAATTCCCAGAGTGGTTTAACAACAACAATTGGTTATTTATATGCTGCCCATCTGACTGGGTCGCCTCAGCCATTCCTCCTTCCTGGGCAACTCTGGGAATTATAGTTCCGGGAAGGGAATAAAGGTCTCTTGACAACTCTCGGCACCCTGAACAGACTGCAACTCCCAGAATTCTTTGGGGGGAAGCAGTGAAAGTGGTATCACAGCATTTTAAATGTATAGCGTGAAAATGGCCTCAGTACATTCAGCATAGATTTCAGTCACCACACAGAACATGGGTATTTATTCTAGGCAGGCCGGATCCCTGACCAGCCCTGTGATTATCCATTAACCACCTGTTGATGTGCAGAATAATGTAGGGAGAGAGAGACAGAGATTGCCATCCATCAACAACCTGATTAAAACTGTTTGCACACTATACTTTAAAAGGCATTCAAAACACATTCCTTTCCTCAGAGAATGACGGGCACTGTAGTTCCACCCCTCACAGAGTTAAAATTCCCAGCAACCCTTAAACTGCCCAGAATTCTTTGAGGGAAAGGATGCGCTTCAAGTGCATTTTAAAAGTATAGTTTGTACACAGCAGATCTCTAAGATGGCTGCTATTTGTAGGAGAACACCACATGGTCAATACGATGGTCAATCAATAGCCTGCTTTGTCTAACCTCCCTGAAAACCAATCATGATGAATGCTCATAAAGAGATTGTCTGGAAGTGACCTAAGGGATGTCCCCAACTTAAAAATAAATGCAGGAATACTTCGACCCCAGATATCTCTTGCTTTGAGTGGGCATCTGTGTGCTGTCATAGCACATGGCATCGCATGGGGATGGTGAATGCATGTACAGTGTTACGCACATTCCAGTGCCAAACTGATTAGACCAGCTTTCCCCAGCCAATGACTAGTGGTGTGTGGTAACACAGAGGCAGGCTTTTTCACTGGAGACACCTGCTGAAATATGAGAGGACCCATCACTATTGGCATTCCGCGGGCTCCTGAAGGCACTCCTGTTTAGGGAAGCGTTCCCCTGAGCTGAACTTGTGATTTTATCATTGTAACTGTTTTCTTCTCTTTTCTTTTTAAAAACTGTATTAACTGTCATGCTTCCAAATTGTTTTATTGACTAGTTTAACTGAGGATGCTTTAACGTGATTGTGTGTGTGTGTGTGCGCGCGCACATTTAAATTATGGATTGGCTTCATATTTGCAAACCACTTAGAACAAGTCATTTTGTCATATAAGTGGCATCAATCTAATCATCACCATCATCTGATGCCTTCCATATTGTTTTGGACCACAACTTGCCTCAGCCCCAGCTAATATGATCTAGTGTATAATTTACATGCACTGTGGATGGGGGACTCTTATAACTGGTTCAGACATGCATGTTGATGACTAAACCAGGGGTCTGCAACCTTTAAGACAAAAAGAGCCACTTGGACCCGTTTCCGAAGAAAAAACAACTGGGAGCCGCAAAACTCGTCATTATAAAAATAACTTTTTTGTCACTTTTTAAAATTATTTCTTTGTTTGACCCCTCAGAATTACTCCTCCTCATAGAAATAAACGTTAAATTAACAAGTTACCTTTTTGTGTGTGTGTGTTCTTCACTCCCCTTCAAAACAGTGACCAGCGTACATGCCTCCTTTCAATGCAGTGACCAGCGTACATGCCCCTTACAATGTAGCGGGCGGGTGGGCGGGAAGGTGACGTCGGGACGGTGCGCGACTAACGCACGCACCGCCCCCATGTGACGTCACAGCCAGTACAGCGTCCGCCACAGTGGGGAGTGTCGGGGCGCACAATGCGCCTCCTCCCCTCGCTAGTATCTGCCCCGGAGCCACAGCAAAGGTGTAAAAGAGCCACATGCGGCTCCGGAGCCGCGGGTTGCAGACCCCTGGACTAAACCATCCAGCGAGGCTGGGCAGCTTCAGATTTAAAAACAAAAACAAAACACTACTGGGGAAGTGCCATAGCTCAGTGGTTAGGGCAGTTGCTTTGCATGCAGAAAAGCACAGGTTGGATTCCTGGGACTGGGAAATACTCATTGCCTGAAACCCCCAATAACTGCTCCTTCTCAATGTAGACAGTATTGAGCTAGATGGATTAATGGCTTGACTTGGTACAAGATGGCTTCCTATGCTCCTTTTATATCAGGGAAGGGATGTAGCACAGTGGTAGAGCATCTGCTTTGCATGCAGAAGGTCCCAGGTTCAATCCCTAGCATCCCTAGCGAGGGCTGGGAGAGATCCCTTGCCTGAAACCCTGGAGAACCTCTGCCAGCCAGTGTAGACAGCAGTGAGCAAGGTGGACCAATGGTCTGACTCAGTATAAACCAGCTTCCTAGGAACCACAGAACTCCAAACAGAAGGCATCTCAAAAACAAGCAGTTCACACATATGGCAACCGGCCAGGAATCAAATGACGCACTTTGCTTTCATTCTCCCTGTCTCAGAAGCCTGACAGGCTTCAACTAGATGTCGGGGATTGAATGTCACTAACCCCATGCTGCGGAAAGCAGAGGCCTCCTCGCTTTCAACTTTGTCTCTTGAAGACCCTTGTTCAGGTCTTTGCAGCTGTTGAATTATTCTTATAAAGAGCCAGTCACGTTAGTGATCATTCTGCATTGTTTTCAACGCTCCTTTAGGCTTCACTGCATTCCTCTACATTCTTACACATCACCTAGGTATTTTATAGGAGTGGGTGGTATATAGATACTTTAATATCAGATGGGTAGCATATAAATAGTAATTTATTATTATTATATCAGACTTCCTCAACCTCGGCCCTCCGGATGTTTTTGGCCTACAACTCCCATGATCCCTAGCTAGCAGGAACAGTGGTCAGGGATGATGGGAATTGTGGTCTCACAACATCTGGAGGGCCGAGGTTGAGGAAACCTGTTATATTATTATTACAGTATTAATGCACAGATCCCAGAAAATCCTATTAAAGCACATTAATTCATTCATGGTTTAGGCGATGAAAAAAAGAGGCTTTGGTTGATTAGTTTCCCCGCCTCCCCATCTTCAAACGGGAATTGAATTTCAGTGAATTTGGAGATTATAAAATGAATCACGATAGGTGCTTTCTGGAGATAGTGAAGGCTGTTCAATCAGCAACATATATTTCTTCCCCCACCCCCCAAAAAATCCTAGGCAGTTTGTTAAGGGTGCTGAAAGTTGTTAGGAGACCCTATTCCCCTCACAAAACTACAATTCCCAGCATGGTTCAACAGTCAACCCCTCTTCTCAGGGACCTCAAATAAAATAATAATAATAATAATAATAATAATAATAATAATAATAATAATAATAATAACGTCCATCTGGCTAGGTTTCTCTAGCCACTCTGGAAATTGCAGCTCTCTGAGAGGAATAGGAGTCTCCAAACAACTCTCAACACCGTTAAAAACTACAGTTCTCATGATTCTTTGGGGGATGCCATGACTGCAAAGTCAGTGATTTAGTGGTTAGAGTGTCAGACTATGACCTGGGAGACCCAGGTTCAAATCCTCCCTTGGCTCTGTTGCTCACTAGGTAACCTTGGGCCTGTCACTGCCTCTTAAGCCTCACCTACCTCACAGGGTTGTTGTGGAGGTTAAAGAAGGAAGCGAAGAATCACGTACACCTCCTTGAGTTGGGAAAGGTGGGATAATATAGATGCAATAAAACAAATAATAAATAAGATGCGACGACACGGCCTTAACTGGGTAGTGAAGATGGGTTCTTAGTCTTACATTTCGAAGGCTTGCTCTGACATGTACCTTCCCACCCCCAAATGCAAAATGACAGCCCTCTGCTTAATTTCCCCATCACTCACCTGAGACTTCCACATAACCATCCTTGGTTTTCACCGTCAGTTCCTCAGGTTTAAAGCTCTGCACATTGACACACACTTTCCACGGCTCCCCGGAAAAGGGGGGAGGGCTGCCCCCAAAGGCCGGACCTTCTGTGTACTCCCCAAATCTGGGGCCATATCCTGGCGGGGATAGGCCAGTGGTCCGGGACCTCAGCGACCCCGGCCACGCTGGACCCAGTCGGGAGCGGGCCCAGTCCGGCCAGTCTGAGGTCAGGCCTGCGGGGAAGGAGGACAGGCCAAAGTCATCGTCCAGAAGCCGCGAAGACAAGCTGGGTTCCCGGAACGTGTCTCGAAGGGTCCGGTGCCGGCCGGGATAATGGCATGAGAAGGGGATCTGGCTGTCAGCCATGACAAGTTTCTTCTGAGTCGGAGCCGAGAAGAGTCAGAGACTAAGGGAGAGAAAAATCCAAGAAAGATAACTTGATTGAATTTGGTTCGGGACCCAAAAATATCACTCAAGTGCTGTATGTGAAATTTCAGCTTCAAAGGTGCTGGTTCGATCGATACCTGGATACTTCCCCGCTTTTAAAGCACCCAAAATGAAAATGTTCCCTTCCACAAATCTGAAATGAGAAAGCGCCTCTTCGCCTCTTCAATGCTGAGAAATGAATTCCGGAGAGGAGGCAAGCAATCCTTTGGCCGCAAGGTTGAAAAGCAAACGCACCAGGCTGCTGCGCTCTCCCTCTCCCTCCTGTTGCTCACACAGGAGCTTAAATAAACCTCTTTCGTAAGAGCCGCGAAACTTCTCTGAAGTTCTAGGCAGCTGCTTGCCCTCTATTTATAAGCGCTTTAGTGCTGCTGCTGGTGTTGCAATGCGTGCCCTGCAAAGCCGTATTTTTGGAGAGGGTGAAACAGCCCTGGAGAATCTGGGCTGAAACAGCTGACTTCACCCCAGCGGGACAGACAAGCCCCAATGGAGAGCCAAGTTTAGACAGCCTCTCTCACCAGCCCCACCTTCTCCTTGCCTCCTTCCCTCTTAACATAAAGCAGGCAAGGCGGCTATTATTAGTTTGGGGTGTCAGGCCTGTTCCTCTGCGAACGTCTCTTAATATCACCTTTTGGGGGTTTGCCCTGAAAACAGAGCCTTGTTGTTGTGGCACCTTTAAAAAGCCAAGTGGACATAGAAAGCTGCCTTATGTTTTTTTGGGGGGAAAGACTTTTAGCTCAGTGCTTTGCAAGCAGAAGGTCCTAGGTCCAATCCCTGGTTTCCATCTCCAGGTAGGGCTATGAGAGATTCCTGGTTTGAAACCCTGGGGAACTAATCAGTGTTGACAATCCTAAAATAGATGGAGCAAGTCAGTCTAATGGATATTTATTTGGGGAAAATCCATGGGTCAGTGAAAGAGGACCTGCCTTGCATGGACGAAGCTCCCAGGTTTAATCCCTGGCATCTCCAGGTAGGAAAGGGTTCTGTGGATGCTCAGTTATGCTAATACATGGGTAGGCAAACTAAGGCCCGGGGGCTGGATCCGGCCCAATCGCCTTCTAAATCTGGCCCGTGGACGGTCCGGGAATCAGCATGTTTTTACATGAGTAGAATGTGTCCTTTTATTTAAAATGCATCTCTGGGTTATTTGTGGGGCCTGCCTGTTGTTTTTACATAAGTAGAATGTGTCCTTTTATTTAAAATGCACCTCTGGGTTATTTGTGGGGCCTGCCTGGTGTTTTTACATGAGTAGAATGTGTCCTTTTATTTAAAATGCACCTCTGGGTTATTTGTGGGGCCTGCCTGGTGTTTTTACATGAGTAGAATGTGTGCTTTTATTTAAAATGCACCTCTGGGTTATTTGTGGGGCCTGCCTGGTGTTTTTACATGAGTAGAATGTGTGCTTTTATTTAAAATGCATCTCTGGGTTATTTGTGGGGCATAGGAATTTGTTCATTAATTTTTTCCCAAAACATAGTCTGGCCCCCCGACAAGGTCTGAGGGACAGTGGACCGGCTCCCTGCTGAAAAAGTTTGCTGACCCCTGTCTAATGCATCAGGAAGAACCACCTGGACAAAATTGCAGTAAATTGTAAGGTATAAATAGGAAAATATTGCATGCTTTGTGAAGTCCCCAATCTACACGTACATCTGCATTTTATGATTGGGTTGGTTCAGGCAGCGGCTCTGCTTTTTATATACAGTTGTATAGATATTTCTTTTCCTGACAGTGTTTGCATGATTTTGTCATGGCCTTTGGCTAGTACAGTAAAGCTTATTTTGATTGATTTGAGGTAGGCCTGGGAGAGCTGCTGCAAATCAGTGTGGGCAATGCTGAGCTCTTATCCGTGTTTATTGGGCATTTGTTCTGGGATAGTTATATGACAAAGAGCATGACCATATTATTATTTATTGATGATGATGAGTGGTTACATTCATTATTATAATTATATTATTTATAATTATCCCAATTCATTCATCATGTAGTCATTTTGATTTGAGGGGTTCTTATACCATCAGCCATTCATCCACTTTTCAGTGAGGGGTCTCCAAAAACTCTCAACATCATTAAAAACTAAAGTGCTCAGAATTTTTTGGGGGAAGCCATGACTGCAGAGGCAGAGTAGTGTAGTGGTTAGTGTTGGACTAGGACCTGGGAGACCAGGTTCAAAACCCGCCCCCCACTCAGCTTTGAAGCTCACTAGGTGGGCTTGGCCAGTTGCTTCCTCCCAGTCAAACTACCTCCCAGTCCTGTGGAGGAAAAGGTGGGATATAAATGCAATAATAATAATGAATATATTGCCTCATCTTGTGGCAGTGAGTCCCACAAGTTAATTACACACCATGTGAAGAAGTACACAGCTAGGTGAGGCATTGAGGACACTTCTCCTGGGTGCAGCCCTGTCTGGGGGCAACAGGCATCAAAGATCATGATGTAATAATATTATTTTAATACCTGTAATTATCAATATGTAATGTTTTCCTTTCAGCGTGGAATAATTAAAGATGAGCCAGCATCGTGCAGTAGTGGTTAGAGGGGCAGATTAGAATGCAAGAGATCCTGGCTGAAGTCTCCACCCATTGAACAACTCCAGTCATTTACCTCAGTATTGTCTATCGAGGGAAACTTTGGCCCGCCAGATGTTGCTGAACTACAACTCCCGTCATTCTTGACTATTGGCCATGACTGCTGAGGCTGTTGGGAGTCTAATGGATATTTATTTGGGGAATAATAAATAAATATAAATATCAGTCTAATGGATATTTATTTGGGGAATAAATATCAGTCTAATGGATATTTATTTTAAATATCAGTCTAATGGATATTTATTTGGGGAAAATCCATGGGTCAGTGAAAGAGGACCTGCCTTGCATGGACGAAGCTCCCAGGTTTAATCCCTGGCATCTCCAGGTAGGAAAGGGTTCTGTGGATGCTCAGTTATGCTAATACATGGGTAGGCAAACTAAGGCCCGGGGGCTGGATCCGGCCCAATCGCCTTCTAAATCTGGCCCGTGGACGGTCCGGGAATCAGCATGTTTTTACATGAGTAGAATGTGTCCTTTTATTTAAAATGCATCTCTGGGTTATTTGTGGGGCCTGCCTGGTGTTTTTACATAAGTAGAATGTGTGCTTTTATTTAAAATGCACCTCTGGGTTATTTGTGGGGCCTGCCTGGTGTTTTTACATGAGTAGAATGTGTGCTTTTATTTAAAATGCATCTCTGGGTTATTTGTGGGGCATAGGAATTTGTTCATTAATTTTTTTCCAAAACATAGTCTGGCCCCCCGACAAGGTCTGAGGGACAGTGGACCGGCTCCCTGCTGAAAAAGTTTGCTGACCCCTGTCTAATGCATCAGGAAGAACCACCTGGACAAAATTGCAGTAAATTGTAAGGTATAAATAGGAAAATATTGCATGCTTTGTGAAGTCCCCAATCTACACGTACATCTGCATTTTATGATTGGGTTGGTTCAGGCAGCGGCTCTGCTTTTTATATACAGTTGTATAGATATTTCTTTTCCTGACAGTGTTTGCATGATTTTGTCATGGCCTTTGGCTAGTACAGTAAAGCTTATTTTGATTGATTTGAGGTAGGCCTGGGAGAGCTGCTGCAAATCAGTGTGGGCAATGCTGAGCTCTTATCCGTGTTTATTGGGCATTTGTTCTGGGATAGTTATATGACAAAGAGCATGACCATATTATTATTTATTGATGATGATGAGTGGTTACATTCATTATTATAATTATATTATTTATAATTATCCCAATTCATTCATCATGTAGTCATTTTGATTTGAGGGGTTCTTATACCATCAGCCATTCATCCACTTTTCAGTGAGGGGTCTCCAAAAACTCTCAACATCATTAAAAACTAAAGTGCTCAGAATTTTTTGGGGGAAGCCATGACTGCAGAGGCAGAGTAGTGTAGTGGTTAGTGTTGGACTAGGACCTGGGAGACCAGGTTCAAAACCCGCCCCCCACTCAGCTTTGAAGCTCACTAGGTGGGCTTGGCCAGTTGCTTCCTCCCAGTCAAACTACCTCCCAGTCCTGTGGAGGAAAAGGTGGGATATAAATGCAATAATAATAATGAATATATTGCCTCATCTTGTGGCAGTGAGTCCCACAAGTTAATTACACACCATGTGAAGAAGTACACAGCTAGGTGAGGCATTGAGGACACTTCTCCTGGGTGCAGCCCTGTCTGGGGGCAACAGGCATCAAAGATCATGATGTAATAATATTATTTTAATACCTGTAATTATCAATATGTAATGTTTTCCTTTCAGCGTGGAATAATTAAAGATGAGCCAGCATCGTGCAGTAGTGGTTAGAGGGGCAGATTAGAATGCAAGAGATCCTGGCTGAAGTCTCCACCCATTGAACAACTCCAGTCATTTACCTCAGTATTGTCTATCGAGGGAAACTTTGGCCCGCCAGATGTTGCTGAACTACAACTCCCGTCATTCTTGACTATTGGCCATGACTGCTGAGGCTGTTGGGAGTTGGAGTCCAACAGCAACTGGAGGGCTGAAGATCCCCCAAGCCCTGGTCTCTTCTGACTGGCGGTCTCTACAGGGTTTCAAAAAGGAGTTTTTCCCAGCCCAAGAAACTGTTGATCACCCATCCTTTTCCCTTTGTTTTGTGCATACAGTGGTACCTCGGTTTTCGAACGCCTCCGTAGTCAAACATTTCGGAATTCGAATGCCCAAAACCCAGAAATAAATGCCTCAGTTTTCGAACGCGCCTCGGAAGTCGAACAGGAAACGTGGCTTCTGTTTTGAGTTTTCCGTTTTGAGGCTTTCGGTTTTTGAACGTTTTGGAACTTGGATGGACTTCCGGAACGGATTACATTCGAAAACCGAGGTACCACTGTACTAGGAATGCCCTCAAGGAAGCCCGGAAAGAGGAATTCAAGGTAAGAATTTCAGTTTCCCCCAGCCCAAAGCATGTACTGCGCTACTGAGCTATGACAATTCCTCTGGCGCTCAGGGTTCCTGAAGCTTATGGGGAGACCCTGGGCCACAATCTTTGAGTCTATCCCACCTCACAAGGTTGATGTGATAAAAGATGTCTATGGGAAAAACGCAAGAAGATCAAACCTCTCCATTCTGAAGGAAATCAGCCCTGAGTGCTCACTGGAAGGACAGATCCTGAAGCTGAGGCTCCAATACTTTGGCCACCTCATGAGAAGAGAAGACTGCCTGGAAAAGACCCTGATGTTGGGAAAGATGGAGGGCACAAGGAGAAGGGGAAGACAGAGGACGAGATGGTTGGACAGTGTTCTCGAAGCTACCAGCATGAGTTTGACCAAACTGGGGGAGGCAGTGGAAGACAGGAGTGCCTGGTGTGCTCTGGTCCATGGGGTCACGAAGAGTCGGACACGACTAAACAACTAAACAACAATAACAATGGAAAGAACCACTTAAGAACCTCAGGCCTAGGGGTCAAATGCAGCTTTCCAGGCCTCTCTATCCGTTCCTTAGCATATTCCTCAGGCCATACCATGCCCCAAATGTTTTTGCCTGGCTGGAATGTGTCTTGATAATGCCTCATGCTTGTCTGGGTCGAGGACACAGAGGTGTGTGTATAGAAGGTACCGGTAGTTTAATGTACCAAAGTAAAAACTGCATTCATTGCTCTACTCACTTTTGCCCCTGGCCTGGCCCACAACAGAGATGTGGCCCCCAGAATCTTGCGCACAAGAGAATGTGGCTCTCTGGTTCTAAAAGGGTTTAAGCCTCCCTGATCTCCTTGGATAAAGAAAGCAAAATGAGCCTACTAAATATATAAAGCTTTCCAGATAGCAAATTAAAAAAGCTAGACGTCAGCTTTCTCGGAGGCTTAGTCAGGGCAGCAGGCCACACCCGCAGCCTAACCCAGCGTAGCACATTCAGCTTTGTCAAGAAGGATAAAATTGGGGGGGGGGCATGACATCGAACAGTGGCAGCAGCCAGCAGGGGTTATTCGCAAGCACCTCTCAACAGGAGCAGTCTTGCCTAAGCAGCTTCAACAGCATTTCCTCAGTAATATCTTTAAAAAGCCCATGACTATGTGCCTTAACCCAGCGTTGGTTCCGGCTGAAGGGGGTGAAGAGTTCAGAGAGCTTGTCTCAGGTGTAGGAATTTCTATTTATGGCACCGAGTGCCAAGGCTGTTTTTAAAGCACCGCTTTTAAAAGTTGGCAACCTTATTTGCAGGTGATAGCCTACTTTTTAGGGTCGTATCGTGTTGCCTGAGGTTAAATCAGACCATCTTGTCAAGCCCTGATGACTGACTGGCAGCAGCAATAAGGGGTCTCAGCAGGAGGCGTTCATATCACCCGTCACCTGAGAGCTCTTCATAACTAGAAATGTGGAGGATTAAAACCTTAGATTTTCTCCATGGATGAGATGAACGAAAAGCATGAGGTTACAATAAACAGGGTGGATTTGATTTAAATCATTTTTTTACAGAAAGACTCATTCTTGCTGGTATAATCTTCATATTTACAACCAAAGGGAGGTTTCATTTTAGGAATTATAAATTTTCAGAGTAGTTTTTACAAAAAAATTCTGATTATATTATTAGAAATACATAGGCGGATAATTATGAAATTATTTTGAGGTTTAATAAGTTCACTGTTTATATTTGGGCAACTTTTCTGCTGTGCTTTATTGGAAGGAGAAAAACAATCATTTCCTTAATAACAATTTAAACTATTTACTTAACTAAAACAATAACATTAAAGCATATGGATCCATGTTTGTTAACTGATGTGGTTGAACAATTAAAAAACCCCAAAAACTTAGACTGAGTTTTAGCACACATGAAAAACTTAAAGCAAATCCTTATTTCCTGATGGACTATAATGTAACTTAAATAGAAAACTACCTTTAGAAAGATTTTTCCTCTAAAAGCATTTTATTTTAAAAATCCGATTTAAATTTAAAAAAATCTGATTTAAATAAAAGAATCTGATTTTTTAAAAAAATAATTGATTTTTATCCACCCTGGCAATAAAGGCACTTATTATTATAGAAAAATATGGGAGGTGCTCACTCAGAACAAAATGTTGCGGTGTGGAGTGTTTTAAACTGTTTTAAAAATGTGTTTTAAATGTTGTAAACTGCCGTGGGACCTTAGGGTGAAGGGCAGGTAGACAATAATGAGTTAAAAGGGCCCGACCCCCTTTTTGGATTGTTTTAGGATTCTCCATTCCGGAAACTACAGTTTACCCCCGCAGGGCTATAATTCCTGGCACCTAGAAACAAACTTTCGTTTCCAGAATTCTTAGTTTTAAGTGTATGGTGTACAGGCAGCCTAGGACAGAATACTGAAACTGTAGAAGCTCTGTGTCTTTACTTAAGGTCTATACAAACTGCTCACTTTCAATGAAATATGCATTCTGGTTTGAGCAGTTTAGAAAGCAGATTATGTCTCGCCACATGTGCAAAATTGACTGAGCCTGAGTCAGCACCCAAAGGGAGAGTCCTGCTGTCAGTAGGTGTTGACACCTGGTATCTAAGGAAAAGGCTGGACCTGGTGGAGTAACTGAGAAGGATGAACCTTCCGGATAAGCTGGTTTTTCAGGGTACTTCTGCACAATCTCAAGATTTCCCCAAGCCTGCTGGTGCTCCCATCTTGTGCCTGGATGCTGTGTTTTTGACAACATAAACAACAGCTCTCATAGCTCCAACACTGGAAATAGAGGGAATTTAGTCCGATTGGGCTCTGAAGTAAGCAACTGTATATTCTAGGCTAAAACTGTACAGTGGAACTTTGGGTTGTGAATGTGATCCATCCGGGAGGCATGTTCGCAACCTGCAGCACTGCGTCTGCGCATGACGCGATTTGGCGCTTCTGCGCATGCGCAAAGCACGATTTAGCGCTTCTGCACATGTGCCGAAACCCAGAAGTAACTCGTTCCGGTACTTCTGGGTTCAGCGCGTCTGTAACCCGAAAACGCGCAGCCCACAGCGTTCGCAACCTGAGGTATGACTGTAGTCAAATCCATACCACCTCAGGTTAAGTACTTAATTTGTTCCGGAAGTCCGTTCTTAACCTGAAACTGTTCTTAACCTGAAGCACCACTTTAGCTAATGGGGCCTCCCGCTGCTGCTGCACCGCCGGAGCACAATTTCTGTTCTCATCCTGAAGCAAAGTTCTTAACCTGAGGTAATATTTCTGGGTTAGCGGAGTCTGTAACCTGAAGCGTATGTAACCCGAGGTACCACTGTACAGTGGTACCTTGGTTCTCAAACTTAATCTGTTCTGGAAGTCTGTTCCAAAACCAAAGTGTACCAAAACCACGATGCGCTTTCCAATAGAAAGTAATGCAAACGGATTAATCCGTTCTAGACTTTAAAAAACAACCCCTAAAACAGCAATTTAACATGAATTTTACTATCCATTGAT